TGGTAAAATCTCGTAAAAAAATTATATTTAGAACTATTTTTAAGCAATTTGGTGGTTTTTCAATTTATTTTTTTGAAAAATTTTGACGAAATAATAAAGTTTCTAGTCGAAAAACGTGGAATTTATTTTTGACCTAATATACTATATTGATAAATTAGTGTATTAATTTTTTGTTGTAATCGCAGAGTTACAACAATTTTTTTCATGAAAAAATCACCTGATATTAGAATTTTTACAAGAGTTTTTATTAACCCAATTGGTCTCACGATACTTTTTCCAAAATTTTATTTACTTTTTCAAATTGTTATCATTTGTGTCTCTGAAACACAAAAAATTATTTATTGAAATTATCTTTCAAAAAAAAAACACCAAACTAACATAAAAATTAAGTGGTAAAATTAGAATTTTAACTTACTTGGCATTTTTGTCTGAACCACCATGTATATAACTTTTTTTCGATAAAAATTTAAAAAAGGAGATAATTGTAATTCTTATATCTTTAAAAAACAAAGGTTTTATAGTGGGTTACCATTAAAAAAAAACTTTACTGAAGTCGATGAACAAAAACACGATTAGCCCGTCACACCAAACTTTTATTTTAATAGCACAACGCGTTTCAACCACAAAGTGGTCATCCTCAGGTGTGTTTTTGTTCATCGTTTCCATACCAAGAAGATCCAAGAAGAAGAAGTTTACTGAAGTCATCAAAAACCAAAAAAATGCGAAAAAAAACTTAATTTTTTTATGATGCTTTTAAGCAAAAAACGTTTGTTGGTAAAATCTCGTAAAAAAATTCAATTTGTCTTTGTTTTTGTCCCTAGAAATTTTGTTAAAAAATTATGGTTGTTTTCAAATTGAGACGTTGTCAAAATTTTGACTTTGACTTTTATGAATGGACCAAAATGATGTTCTTGCTACAAAAAGTTTGAAGAAAAAGGATGTATATACAGAAAAAAAATTATTTAGCAAAAGATAGACGTAGGTATTATGATTGGCAATAAATTTTGTGTAATTTATTGAAATGAACTCATTGTTGATGCATTTTATAAATTCTTCTTTAGCTTTAGTTTCACTATTTGTTTCCAAATTTCTAAAAACTGTTCTTTTTTTGGTGTTTCGTCTCTAAATTTTCGATTTTTTGTGTTGACATTTAATGGCATTATTTTCAAATTATCAAAAAACCGGAACTGCTAACTTCCTTCAATAAAAATTACCACAGTAGTGCCAACGTTAAGACTGTTTGGCATTTCCACTTAAAAAAACAGACTTTACCAAATCTTGGTAATTTTCCAAATGGTCCGACGTGTACCCATAAGGCAGCAACATAAGCTGCGAGTACGAATGGAACGCAATATAAGCTTGCAATTTCGACCCAATTGTCGAAATAAACTCCGAAATGCTTTTAGTACTCGGCTCAGAAAACGCTTTAGGGCCACAGTACGTTTCAGAGCACGGGGAAGGACTACTACCACCATCATTAAAATGAAAGTCCCAATTTCTATTAGGATCAGCGCCCACACATAGGAAATATGGTACGCGTGTTTTACGCCACATGCGGTCCTGAAACAAGTCCTTTTTACCATTTCTTCTAAAATCAAATGTCTTATACCGTGGTGTGGGTGTAAACAAATCCATCGGGATTAAAAACAGGAACAAAGTACCAATCATGACTCTCAGCAACTTCACGAACATTGGAGTCTGAACTGGTCAAAATTTCGTTCAAAATCCAGGTTGTTACAGCTGAACTGATCCTGCGAATATTTTCAGTGAAATAAGGGGCTCAGAGAACATACAGGGTGTGCCAAGTAATTTTGTGATTTAATGAATAATATAGATGGCAATGTTGCCAACTTAACTTCAGAAACACAGGTCTCTTAAATAAAAGCCTCCATGTACAAAAACTTTAGCCCATTCAATTTTTTTTTATTATACTCGAAAAACAATGAAATTGACCATTTTATTTTTTATTATCACAAAACAACGAATTTAAAACAATTTATAAAAAAAAAAAAGTAATTTAGAAACTTTGTAACCGAAGAATTTTTGGAATCTAATCGAAATTGCTTAAACTTATATGAAAGTATTTGGAATTATTAAAATTATTTTTGGATTGTTTGGAAGTATTTGTGAATTACTGGAATTCTTTTTGGAACTATCGTAAATAATTTCTTTTGAAAATTACTTAAAATTGCTTAGAACTATCGAAATTAATTTGTAATTAAAAGAAACGTTTTGAAATTACTAAAATTAAGTTGGAGTTAAGTTGGAATTACAGGGAATTAATTTGGAATTAATCTGAAAACAAAAATTTTTCAAAAAAAAAAGCTTGAAACAAAAATCTGAATTCATTTTTAAGCTTAACTGAAAGTTTTCTATCACCGTTCGAGAGTTGGTTTTTATTATCACAAAGCAACGACTTTAAATAAATTTATCAAAAAAAATTTTTTTTAATTAATTTAGAAACTTTGTAACCGAAGATTTAGTTGTAAAAATTTTTGGAATTTAATCGAAAATGCTTAAAATTATGTGAAAGTATTTAACATTATTAAAATTATTTTTGGATTGTTTGGAATTACTGGAATTATTTGTGAATTACTGGAACTCTTTTTGGAATTACAAGAAATATTTTGAAATTAGCAAAATTAAATTGGAGTTAAGTTAAAATTACAAGATAGGAATTAACCTGAAAACAGAATTACGATAGATTATTACAATTACTGGAATTTCGGTGTAAATGTAAAGAGTTAATTCGACATATTTGAATCACCCTGTATTTACCGAATTTTGCAATTTTAAAGTAATTATAAAAAAAAAAAGTTTCATAAAAAATATGACCTGACCTGTCCTAATTTTGCAAAGAAAACTATATTACCGTGAAGGAATCACAAAAAATAACAGAAATTCTTGCAACAAATTAGGTAAAATTGAAGAAACTCACACATTGAGATCTTTATGTTTCACACACATACACACTCAGTAGATGAGGTAATATCTTTTAAAAATTACTTTGAATTGCTTTGAACTATCGGAATTAATTTGTAATTACAAGAATTATTTTTAAATTACTAAAATTAAGTTGGAATTACAAGGAATTAATTTGGAATTAATCTGAAAACAATGAAATTGTAAATATGAAAATTGACAGTTCTGTTTTTTTCAAAAAAAAAAAGCTTGAAACAAAAATCTTAATTCATTTTTAAGCTTAGCTCAAAGTCTTCTATCATCATTTGAGAGTTGGTTTTTCTTATCACAGACTTTAAATGAATTTATGAAAAAAAATTTTTTAAGTAATTTAGAAACTTTGTAACCGAAGAATTAGTTGTACAAATTTTTGAAATTCAATTGAAATTGCTTAAAATTATGTGAAAGTGTTTGGAATTATTAAAATTATCTTTAGATTGTTGGGAGTTACTGGAATTCTTTTTGGAACTACCGGAAATAATTTCTTTTGAAAATTACTTTGAATTGCTTAGAACTATCGGAATTATTTTGGAATTATAACAAGTATTTTGAAATTACCAAAATTAAGTTGGAGTTAAGTTGAAATTACAAGAATGATAGGAATTAACCTGAAAACAGAGGAATTACGATAGATTATTAGAATTCTTGGAATTTCGGTGAGTCTTCGAGAGTTGGTTCGACATTTTTGAATCACCCTGTATTTACCGGATTTTGCAATTTTAAAGTAATCATAAAAAAATAAGAGAAAGATTCATAAAAAATATGACCTGACCTGTCATATTACAGTGAAGAAATCACAAAAAATAAGAGAGATTCTTGCAAAAAATTAGGTAAAATTGAACAAACTCACAGACTTAGATTTTTATATTTCACATACACATACACACTCTGTAGATGAGGTAATTTCTTTTAAAAATTACTTTGAATTGTTTAGAACTATCGAAATTAATTTGTAATTACAAGAATTATTTTGACATTACTAAAATTAAGTTGGAATTACAAGGAATTAATTTGGAATTAATCTGAAAACAATGAAATTGTAAATATGAAAATTGACAGTTCAGTTTTTTTCAAAAAAAAAGCTTGGAACAAAAATCTGAATTCATTTTTAAGCTTAGGTAAAAGACTTCTATCACCGTTCAAAAGTTGGTTTTTATTATCACAGACTTTAAATGAATTTATCAAAAAATTTTTTGTATGTACTTAATTTAGAAACTTTGTAACCGAAGAATTAGTTGTACAACTTTTTGAAGTTGAATCGAAATTGCTTATAATTATGTGAAAGTATTTGGAATTATTAAAATTATGTTTGGATTGTTTGGAGTTACTGGAATTCTTTATGAAACTACCGGAAATAATTTTTTTTTTAAATTACTTTGAATTGCTTAGAACTATCGGAATTATTTAAGAATTACAAGAAATATTTTGAAATTAGCAAAATTAAATTAGAATTCTGTTTTTTTTTTTCAAAAAAAAATCTGAATTCATTTTTAAGCTTAGCTGAAAGTCTTCTATCACCGTTCGAGAGTTGGTTCGACATTTTTGAATCACCCTGTATTTACCTGATTTTGCAATTTTGAAGTAGTCATAAAAAATAAGAGAAAACTTCATAAAAAAATATGACGTGCACCTGACCTGACTTGTCCTAATTTTACACAAAAAATATGAGAGATTCTTGCAAAACATGAAGCAAAATTGAACAAAACCACACATTGAGCCTTTTATGCTACACATACACACCCTGTATATATTTTTTACTTTGCAAAACTTTACCATTCGCGTGCATGAATATTGGATTCGATAAAAACAGTCCGATTCTCATTCCCCTCCTTGAAGGAAACTTTCACCCCCAAAATGTCTCTTCCTTCGTAGGTTTTTCCAACTGTCACCAATTCGACGTTTTGATTGGTATTGGCAAGATTTTTCAACCAATCATAGATCTACACATGTCTCATAATCACATTATTGGTTAATTGAGAAGCTTACCTCATCCAAAGTGTGATAATCAGACCACTCGAGTCCTACAGAAGCTCTTTGAGATTTTTCGTTATCAATGAGTTTTTGCACATCCGGAATATAAACTTCGGCATCAAATTGGCCCAAACGGATTATATCATTGAATCGATGTTTGTAATGAGGAGGAACCATGATATCAACCGGTTGGTTGACTCCTCTAACACTTGTCCAAAAATCATAGCCATTGTCTTCAAGTTGGCGTAAATCCTCAACGGCTTTCTGCGATCGAGGAGTGATTCGGTAGACTTGGAAGTTGTCGTAACGAACTTTCTCGTCGGCGAGGATTTGGTGAAGAGACAAAAGGAAGAGGAAACTAGTAAAAGTAGTAACAAGATTCATTTTTGGTACTTTGAATGAACTATTGAAGCAGACGAAAACGGTTATTTATACACAAATCTAATCTAAGATCTCCTTCAGATTTTTAATTGATTGACACAAACATGTTTATTGTTTTTGTATCATTAAGAAGATTATCGATTAAATCTCTTGTTAAGGAAACAATAGTGTTAAGAAATTCGATGAGACCAAGGTTTGACAAAAACTTGAACCAAAAGTCCATTTTTGTGAATCGATCTAACTATGATAATCATTCACTGTTGTTGATTTTCTTTAGTTATTCACAATCTCTTTTGGAGGGAGGAAAATTGTTCATTACATCCCGTAGTCGGGAAGTAAGTAATTTATGAAGGATTACCCCCAGGTTACGACTGTTACAATATCAAAAACTCAATTTGTTTACGTAGCAACTATGTCAACGATTTAACTTTGACAAAAAAACAGATTTATTATTTTAAAAATGACACATTTTTCACTTCAGATGTAATCCAGTATTTCTTCATTTTTTTAAATATTACATTATTTTCATTTCTTCAATTTTATTCACGCTATTGAGTCAAAACAACAAACTCTTTTTCACTTTAATGTGCATCAAGTAGGTTGTAGAAGTCTAAATGCATCTTTAATTTAAAAGCAAATTCACACAAAAAGGTTAATTTTAATTATTTTATGCTACCTTGGTTTTTATTATCACAAAGCAACGACTTTAAATGAATTTATCAAAAAAAAATTAAGTAATTTAGATACTTTGTAAGCGGAGAATTAGTTGTACAAATTTTTGGAATTTAATCGAAATTGCTTAAAATTATGTGAAAGTATTTGAAATTATTAAAATTATTTTTGGATTGTTTGAAATTACTGAAATTATTTGTGAATTACTGGAATTCTTTTTGAACTACCGGAAATATATTTTTTTTAAATTACTTTAAATTGCTTAGAACTATCGGAATTATTTTGGAATTACTAAAATTAAGTTGGAATTACAAGGAATTAATTTGGAATTAATCTGAAAACAATGAAATTGTAAATATGAAAATTGACAGTACTGTTTTTGTCAAAAAAAAAGCTTGAAACAAAAATCTGAATTCATTTTTAAGCTTAGGTGAAAGACTTCTATCACCGTTCACAGGTAATCAATCCACTATTTCTTCAATTTTTTTAAATATTTCATTATTTTCATTCCTTAATTTTATACACGCTATTGTGTCAAAATAACATACTCTTTTTCACGTTAATATGCATCAAATAGGTTGCAGAAGTCCAAATGCATCTTTAATTTAAAAGCAAATTCACACAAAAAGGATAATTTTAATTATTTTATGCTACCTTGAGTACACATTTATTTGAAAAATAATTTTTAGAGAAGTTTTGTTACTTCCAGTGGCGCAGCGAGGAGGGTTTTTGGGGGTTAAACCTCCTTAAATTTGTTTTTAATGTGATTTCATGAATTAATTTTGATAAATCTCACAGAATAACTGTTTATCAACATGTGAATGTTATAGTGTGTTTATACAGAGTGTCCCAGCGAGTTGAAAAAGTCCATTAGTGACCTTTAAATGGTAAGATTAAAAAAATATATAGGACATTGATAGATACTAATCTAGTCCATCGCCTAAAATTATTTTCAATTATACAGCGTGTCTCAAAAATAAGTTTCAATACAAACTTGTGTTTTTTTTAAATGACACACCATGTTAGCGTTTTTGGATGTAGATTTTTATGACAATGTTTTAAACTGAACTTTTATTGGTTGATTTTACTTAGTTTTAAAAATAAGACGGTTTTTTGACAAAAACATGCAATTTTTAAAAATTCATTACACAAAAACTAAGACATCTACAAATATTTTTTTACTACCGCAAAGAAGAAGGTACAAGCTGTAAGGTTGTAACATTTTTTTAGTGTGTTGCATTTGCAAAGATAAAAAAATTAAGGCGTTTGTTAAAAGTTCAATAACTTAAAAAATTTAAATGGAACACCCTATTTATTGTTTTTGCATTTATAAGATTATTAAATTATCTTTCTAAAATTATTTACTTTTAGGTGTTTATAATCAATAACTAAAAAGATATTTAACGTTAAACATAAAAAAAATAATTACTATTGTTTCAGTAGCCAAAAAGTGCACAGTTGCACAAGAGATGGAAAAAATATCACTTAATAATCACATTTGTGTTAAACTGAATCTATTATTTTTAATTTTTACAATAAAATAATTTAAATTTCAGTGTTTATGTCAACTTTTACAATTTTTGGATAAATCAAAAGATAAGTGATCCGTGGTGGAATTACTATAGTTGCCATAGTATCAACAATGCTCAGATATTGATAATCATTGTTGCTACAATGAATATTGAATGTTAAATATCTTTTCATTTATCAATTCTAGTTATTAAAAGTTTATTTTTTTAGATAGACAATTGATCAATCTATTAGATGCAAAAATAAAAAATAGGGTGTTCCATTTAAATTTTTTTAATTATTTAACTTTTAACAAACTTCTTAATTTATTAATCTTTACAAATGCAAAACACTAAAAAATTGCTACAGCTTTGGATTCTGTACTTTCTTTTTTGGAGAAGTAAAAAAAATATTTCTAGATGTCTTAGTTTTTGTGTAATGAATTTTTAAAAATTGCATGTTTTTGTCAAAAAACCGTCTTATTTTTAAAACTAAGTAAAATCAACCAATAAAAGTTCAGTTTAAAACATTGTCATAAAAATCTACATCCAAAAACGCTAACATGGTGTGTCATTTAAAAAAACACAAGTTTGTATCGTAACTTATTTTTGGGACATGCTGTATGGTTGAAAATAATTTTAGGCGATGGACTAGATTAGTATCTATCAATGTCTATCTTTTTTTTAATTTTACCATTTAAAGGTCAGTAAAGGACTATGTGAATTTGTAAAAATTAATCCGGTAGCTTGCATTTTTTCGTGTGATGACATTCAACTTGGTAAAATTACTGAATGAAAACCAGCTTATACGTGTAACCAGAACGTTTGTAAAACAGTCTGTTTACAACTTATGTTGACTATTTTATTTATTACAGTGATAGCAATACTTCAAGTTTTGTTATGGATAATTAATGTTAGGTCGGTTGTACGCGCCTCCTCGTGTTTAGTTCCTGGATGTTTGTCTGCTACATTTTTACAGATCTTCATCGAGGCAAATAAATATTTATGTTCCTTGCTGGACATTTATTAGGACTATTAGATAGAAGACAGGTGCTGTGGTGAGGTTAAAACGGTACCGGTTATACCGCCTGCTTCAACCAAGAATAACACAAAAATTACACACTTCTTCAATTTATTCGCAAGAAACAAAAATAAGAAATAGAATTTTTCTAAGTTGGAGTATAAAAAATCTTTTCTCATAAGTAGAACATAATGTTTTTTTTACGACCCTTATAAATAATTTATTAATATAATTAATTAATATATAATAATTACCATCAGCGTATTGACAATCAAATTTTAAAATGTCAAAACAAGTCAATTTGTTCTCTCTAATATTTCTAATTAAAAAAAAAAACTATTACACAAGGCGATAAAAAAAGTCATGTCGTGACAATTTGACAAATTTTATATCATTTTGTTCGTTTCAGTGTGGCAAATCATATGCACTAAAAAAAAATTAAAAAGTCCACACACTTTGAACTAAATATTTTTTTTCTAATTTAAATAAATTTAAAATACTTTAACTTTAAAAAATCATTACTCAATAACTCTTAGGCCGATTTCCTTCAAATAAAGACCATTCTAAAGGGATGGACTTGCCCTTTAAAATAATATGCAATTTGAAATTGAATATTAGCAAACTTTTCTTCGAACAGTGTTCAAAGAAGTTCGAAGTAAATCGAAATAATCTAAGAAAAACCCTACGAGTATTTTCTTTTCTTTGTCACCATCGTGTAGAGAAAATTTTTATTAGTAGGAATCCAAATTTTTAAAATAATATACCGAGTAGTTTTCAAGATAGGATTTTTTGAAGCTAAGGTTTGCTAATCAAGGGGAGAAATGCATGTTAATCTTACTTAAAATTGCATTTTTATAAAAGTATTTGTTTTAAGGCTCTTCTTTTGCTTAAAAATGGTTAATTGCACCTTCTTTGTTCTAATTACAATAAACAAAAACTGTTTCTTTACTTAAAACAAATAAATAGTACCTGCGTACTAATTAAAGCAAATAAAGAGTTTTTTTGTTGTAAAAATGACCACTGATTATTGAGCAAAGAGGATCTAGAATTTTAAGACACGAGTCTTAAATATAAGGGCAAATCTTTTTCAAATCAAATCACTTTCCATTCAGATTTCGATTTGTTCACTTTTTTTGAAAATGTTCTGAGCAAATGCTTTCTCATCAAATAATTAATTATTTAAGCCCGATACTTTAGATAATGATCTTCATTACTTGACTTTTGTGACACTCTTCGTTTATTTCGTGATTGAAACCCAGAAAACAAAGAAATAGTATATTACAAACGAGTTGGGAAATATATTAGATAGCGTCCGAGGGTGTAATGCAATTCACACCGACAATATAGCTATTTTATTCACAATCACATAAAATATCTGCTTTCTACCAACTTTGTTGCATTGACAAGTTGTTAGTTGAGAATCGGCTTATTATATTGATTGTGAATAAAATTATTTAAGGCAGTCGCAATCAGTATTTGCGACGACATTATTACACCGGTAAAAAACGTTATAGTGTCACGCAATTACCGACAAGGAACTCATTTGATCATATCTAAGTACCTGCATTCTAAAACCAGCACCAGACGCTATTTTATAGCAAGGGTCATAAATTTATATTATTTTCCGGGTTAGAAAAAAAAGTCCCTAAGGTATATGTATCAAAAAAACGTAAAAACAATAAGCGTTATTTTACTTCATCCATGACAACATTTATTTCCTAGACGAATTTGAGAATAGAATATTAAAAAACGAGTTTCATAAGACCAGTCTTGGAGCACGAATGCAAATTTAAAAAACGAGTGGCGTAACCAGAGAATAAGTGTTTCAAGGTCATATATACGAGTTTTTTTAAACTTTTTTTGCCGTTTTTAAACATTTTTTTTTTACTTTAATCGATTTAGGGATTGTTGTGACGTTTAGTAATGTCTTATTTTAAATTAGTTATATTAGTTGTAAAAAAATTAGTTAGTTTTTTGACAAAACTATGCACTTTTTAAAAATTTATTACACAAAAACTAAGACAGCTTAAACAAAATACTAATCTAATACATCACCTAAAATTATTTTCAACCATACAGCATGTCCCAAAAATAAGTTACACAAATTTGTGTTTTTTTAAATGAAACACCGTATATTTCTTTGCATTTTTGGAGGTAGCCTTTTAAAACAATGTTTTTACGCTAAACTTTTATTAGGCGATTTTGCTTAGTTTTAGAAATAAAAAGTTTGCACTTTTTAAAAATTTATTACACAAAAACTAAGACAGCTAAAACAATTTTTTTTTACTTCTTTAAAGAAAAAAGTACAGAATTTAAAGCTGTAGCAATTTTTTAGTGTTTTGCATTTGAAAAGATTAATAAATTAAGAAGTTTGTAAAAGTTAAATAACTTAAAAAATTTAAATGGATCACCCTATTTTTTATTTTTGCATCTAATAGATTGATAAATTGTCTATCTAAAAAAATAAACTTTTAATGTCTAAAATTGATAAATGAAATATTTAACATTCAATATTAATTGGAGCAACAATGATTATCAATATCTGAGCATTGTTGATACTATGGCAACTATAGTAATTCCACCACGGATCACTTATCCGTTGATTTATCCAAAAATTGTAAAAGTTGACATAAACACTGAAATTTGAATTATTTTATTGTAAAAATAAAAAATAATGGATTCAGTTTAACACAAATGTGATTATTAAGTGATATTTCTTCCATCTCTTTTTTTTGGCTACTGAAACAATAGTAATTATTTTTTTTATGTTTAACGTTAAATATCTTTTTAGTTATTGATTATAAACACCTAAAAGTAAATAATTTTAGAAAGACAATTTAATAATGTTTTAAATGCAAAAACAATAAATAGGGTGTTCCATTTAAATTATTAAACTTTGTTCACAAACGCCTTAATTTTTTTATCTTTACAAATGCAACACACTAAAAAAATGTTACAACCTTATAGCTTGTACCTTCTTCTTTGCGGTAGAAAAAAAAATTCTAGATGTCTTAGTTTTTGTGTAATAAATTTTTAAAAAGTGCATGTTTTCGTCAAAAAACCGTCTTATTTTCAAAACTAAGTAAAATCGACCAATAACAAAACATTGTCATAAAAATCTACATCCAAAAACGCTAAGAAACATATGGTGTTGCATTTAAAAAAACAAAAGTTTGTATTGTAACTTATTTTTGAGACACGCTGTATAATTGAAAATAATTTTACGCGATGGACTAGATTAGTATCTATCAATGTCCTATATAATTTTTTTTTAATTTTACCATTTAAAGGTCATTAATGGACTTTTTCAATTCGCTGGGACAGCCCTGTATGTAGGCAGTTATAGGTAAAATTTCTAAGCTTTCATGATGTGTAAATAAAACATGTATTATTAAACTTGCAATGCCGTAAGGTATTAAATACCTTTGTGCCCAGTTAAACAAACAAACCTTTTTTGCTTTTATTGAATGAGGAATAAAGTGCTCCATTATCCACGTCGTGAACGATAACCGATTATCTAGATAGCTCCTGGTCAAAATGTAAATGATTATTTAGCATGACCTGTGGGTTATTGATTATTCAAGGTGTGTCTTTCCGAGTTAGGGAAAAGAAAATTACATTTCTGGCACGCGCTATTTACACATGCCTAACATTTTTACCGTAGACGAATTTGTAAATTTTTTTATTCATAATTTGGAAAAATGTAAAAAACAGGAAAAAAAATTATGGATTTGTACTATTATTAGTGCTATTATTAGTGTTCAAAGTTTCAAATAATTCACAAAGTGAATGATTGTGCCGGTCAGTGTTGCCAGCTCAAAACAATTAAATTCACCAGATCTGAGCTGAAAAGTAACCAGATTACAAGATTATATGATCCAAATTTTTGTATTACTGTCACAGATTCACGTTTTTTACATAAATCTTGCAAACCTGTTCAAAAACGTGCCTAAATCCTCGAAAAATGCAAAAATAGGTAACGCTATTTTATTTAGTCCAATTCTATACTTTTTTGGCTAGTTTAAAAAAAAAGTTGCGAAATACCAAGTAAACATTAATGTTTGTGACAAAAAATCTATTGGCAATACTGAATTACTCGTAATCCTTCTAAATTTGTTATATATAAAAGTTTGACATTTGAATCGGAAAGTCAAAGTTGCCAAACTAAAATTTTAAATTTGACACCAACTTGAGGTAAAAAATATGACAATCATTTACAGTCACCCGATGTTAACGTTTTTACTTTGTTTGTTTGTTTTAGCAAAATCGTGCAATTATGTAACACCATTTTCGACCATATTTTGCATTTTTCGTCCTATTTTTTTGACAAAATTTCACTCAAAAAGAGCTAAATCGAATAAAACAAACGAAATAACATCATTTTAGATTTGTTTTTTTTTAAGCATGTTTTGACAATATCCTGCAAAATAAATTAGTCTCTTGTTTAAAAACGAACTAATAAATCGAGCGAGACACGCTTAAATAATATCAATTTCAATTTAATTTCGTAATTTTTCAATCAGTTTTAGCAAAAATTTGAATGTACTTTAAAAACGTGCTGAAACAATTTAAAAACGGAAAAATAACACTAGTTTTGGCCTAATTTGATAAATTTTCAATTTGTTTTTTACGAAATTTTGCAAAATAGTTGTTTTTTTCTAAAAACATACTAAAACGCTCAAAATAATGTACTTTTCGACCCATTAGCGATTTTTTTACCTTGTTGCGTGAAATATGATTTAGAAAAAAAAGCTATGTCTCGATTTTTCAACTTGTTATTGAAAAAAATTTAGTATTTGTGTTGCTGCGTGCAAAAAGTTCAAAAAATACAAAAATAGTGTCATCATTTTTGACTGAATTTACTGTAACAAAAAATCATCAGAAATAAGAATTTTTTCACCAAATCATTACACTAGCATAAAAATCACCAAACCTGGCAACATTGGTGCCGGTTGGCAACACAATTAAGGTTGAACTATACTGAATAAAAAAATAAATCGTTATTTAAAAATTCTGAAAAAATATAATAACTTTTTGATGGCCTTAGCAGCAATATAGTATATAAATTTAAACTTTTTTGCCGTTTAAAAATAAAGTTAAAAAAACCTCTATTTTTGGCCATTTTATTGTTTTATAAAAAAAACTGTAAGGAAGAATTTTTTGATTTATTTTTGGCGTATTGTAGATTACTTATGTTACTGTATTTTTTTCATACAATTTAAATAATGCGTTTTTTTTATAAAAAAAATATAAAAACTATTGAATTTTGCAATCCGTTACAAATACTCAAAATGAGATAAAAACTCTGTATTACTGTGTGTGTGAGGTACTTTTTTATTTCAGGAACAACATCCAGTTGTAAAAAACCCATTTGTTTTCTGTATTTCTTGAAAAAAGTATTTTTTTTCAGCGGTTTGTTACACTGCAACCGGATATGACAGATATTTTAACATAAACAATTGTAGGTTATGTCCTTATATCATAAATCGCCGTTTTAAAGTATGCCATTCCAATGTTCTAACGTAGATTCCATTTTAAAAAACTGATTTGAAATTCTTGAAATTGAAGTTTTGCGTTAGAATAACCAGAGTTACCATTTAAAAATTAAATTCAGTAATGCCAACAGTCATACATTCTGGATCACTTTTTTGTTTAAGTCGCGGTCAATTCATAGGGGCCATTTAATTTATTGCAAAGTTGGCAGCCCCTAGCCCGCCACCTCTAGTGCGTGGGTTGTGTCAATGTTGCCATCAAAAGTAACTAAATTGTGACAGACGCAATATATGTTATATCTAATTTATTTTACTCTTTTTCATATTAATGTGCATCAAGTAGGTTGTGGAAGTCTAAATGCATCTTTAATTTAAAGGCCGATTCACACAAAGAGTGTCATTAATGTCATTCAGAACAAATCTAATCACATCAATGATGATAAAAATCTTTATGTTTACTGCCCCATGTTAATTACGTTGTTTAATTATTTTATGCTACCTGGGGTACACATTTATTTGGAAAAATAATAATTTTTAAGGAAGATTGAGTTTAGAATTATTTGAATGTTCGCATGGTTGCCACCTTAAAATGATCTCTTTCAATGCACATTAATATGAAAACGAGTATATAAGTATTCTAACCCGACTTTTTCAGAATTGTCATTTTTGATAGATATGTCCCTAAAAAAACAATTGGATGTTTAAAGTCGGATTTACACAACACAATTTCTACAAATTTACACAAAGAAGTGGCCACTATGAATTGACCGCGACTTTAGGCGTTTTTTTAAATAAATTGTGAAATAGTTTGAAATGAGCTTTATTTGTGTCAAGTTGGTATTTGATTTGACATTAACTATCATTTAATAAAAAAATAAAAATTTAATATAAATAAACAAAGCTTTTTGTGCCACTTTCGTTTACTCTGTCATTAAGCGTAATTAGCAACAATTTGTTTTTGGCTAATTGAGTTTCAAACTTGGCGCCTTTTGTGACAGCAGCGTCGCGCGCGCCCCCGCGGCATCGCCACAAACTACACCTTGAACCATTACGAGAGGCCAGCGTCCTAAAATTTGTCCACAATATTTACAATAATAATAGTTTATATTTCCCGTTTTTCCTGCTCATTCGCTGTTTATTAACACCGTGAGGTAAGTCCAATGTTATGAACGTTGTTGTGAGGCCCCGCGCCTCGAATCCCCACAAGCATGTCTGCTTTATTTTTGTTGATCTCGAAAAAAAAACCCTCGCACTTATTAGATAAATACGGCTTGCATTAACCGATACAGTTAGTACTCGCAGCGGTTTTGCTCTCGTTCTACCATGGCTGCAGATTATCAATATTATGTGACTCATTTAAATTTGTGAGTCATCAAACACACTCAAACTGTAGAAAAAAATCGATTGTTTCAGTATGGAGACCGACGAGGGGGAGTCATCCAGCAGCGGCCCCCTTTCCAGCTTCAACAGTCTCTTCTCCTTCACAAGTCCCGCGGTGAAGAAGCTCCTGGGGTGGAAACAGGGCGACGAGGAGGAGAAATGGGCCGAGAAGGCCGTCGACAGCCTCGTGAAGAAGCTAAAGAAGCGCAAGGGGGCTATCGAGGAGCTCGAACGCGCGTTATCTTGTCCCGGGACGCAGAGCAACTGTGTGACAATCCCCCGGAGTCTCGACGGCCGCCTCCAGGTGTCCCACCGCAAGGGGCTCCCCCACGTCATCTACTGTCGCGTGTGGCGCTGGCCCGACTTGCAGAGCCACCACGAGCTGAAGCCCCTCGAACACTGCAAATTCCCCTTCTCGGCCAAACAAAAGGAAGTCTGCATCAACCCCTACCACTACAAAAGGGTGGAAAGCCAGGTTTTGCCCCCGGTTTTGGTCCCCCGACACAGCGATTTCGTCCCAGGGCATTCGCTGTTGCCGTTCCAGCAAGTGGTGGAGCCCAATATGCCCCAGAATATTAGTTACTCCTCCAATGGGTTTAATTCGAATCATTTGAGTCCGAGTTCGCCGCTGTCGAGTGTTTCTAGTCCGGGGAGTGTCTCGTCGAATAACCCGCAGAGTCCGTATTCGAATTTGGCGGAGACTCCGCCCCCGGCATACAGCCCCACGGATGAGAATACGAATAATAATAGCAGTCCACAGCCGTCGCTGAATACTGATGTGCAGCCAGTGGCGTATCAAGAGCAGCCGTTTTGGGCTTCCATTGCCTACTATGAGTTGAATTGTCGCGTCGGAGAGGTGTTTCATTGCCATTCGACTTCTGTTATCGTCGATGGGTTCACCAATCCCAGCAATAACAGCGACAGATTTTGCTTGGGTAAGAGATTTCGAAATGCTACATTTAATAGGTTTTATTTATTTTGATAACTAAGGCTCGGATTATATGCACGAAAAAATCGGAAAATATGCTCGTATTTTCACAAAAATATGCATATATTCTAAACGTATTTATTTCTTGAAAAAACTGATGAATTATTATGAATTAAGTACTATAAAAATGTGATGTTATATCAAAAATGTAATTTTTCAAAAATTTTATTTGTTTATTTTATACTATTTTTAATTATTTTATTTATATTTATTTTTACAAAAATATTTATTTTTTAAATGGCAACCCACCAAAAAAAAACGTTTTTTTCTGATCTTAGGGATTACAACTACTACTTTATATTATTTTTTTATATAAATGGCAATTTTGACAACAAAAATCGAATAACTCGAAAACTAAACAAAATTTTGTTCTTAAAATAAGATCATTTTCTTTATATTACTTTAAATCATATTAATTATTATTTTCTGGAAACAAATGATTTTTAAAAAAAACCGCTTGGTTTGATACTTTATATTCACCCAGTATAAAACGAATTTAAAAAGGAAACACTCAGTAGATACTAATTTTTGTTTTCTCTTTAAAATATTTTGTAATCGGATCATTTTTCTTCAACTTTTAATTTGAACTGAAATTTTTAATCGGAAATTTGTGATTTGAAGAAAATATGCACAAATATGCATTTTTATTTGGCTTATTTTAATCAAAAAAACATTAGATATGTTTAGTAATTTTTAGTAAATTTTAACTTTATAAATTATTCTTTCCGAAATCATCACTAAACTTAATACAATCCTCTGTAAAAAGTCTAAAACCGCCACTAAAGTAATACATTATGCTACAGTTTTTTACTGCAACCAATAAACATTTCAATGAATTTAATTTGTCATATTAAATGAATAAGCTTTTGTTTTTGTGTATAATTTTTTATATCAATGAAAATAATAACCTAAACTTCAAAAATAATCTTGAATTTTGGCCTATTTTGCGATTTCGGAAAAAAATTAATATGCATCTCGGTCACACATTCGTAATGAAAAATAAGACTGTAATGGCTTGATACATAAATAACTATTTTAGTATGTGACTACTGTTTTTTTTTTGTTTTTTTTTTTTTTTTAATTAGACAATTTTTTTACATATTTATGTAAATTTCAGTAAATTATCAAGCGAAAAACTGGTATTGTTATAAAATTATATTTGCGAAAAAAAAAACATTTTTTAACACCTTATGTCATAACTAGGAGTACCTTTAATTCTGGTACGTTTCTTTAAAATATTCGTATCTACAAAAATTTATAACTTATTTATTTTTTTATTCCTTTTAAGTAATTTTTTTATTGAAAAATTTTAATTTTTAACCATTTTTGAAAAAACTTGAAATAATCAAGTTTCTGGTTGAAAACGTAAAAAATGCTCGAAAAACAGTTTTTTTCATTTCCAAAAAAATCACCACATATTAAAAAAGTTTTTATCATTTTCGGCCTATTTTTGTGTTTTTTTTTTTTTTTGGCTTGTTTTTGTGAGATAATTGCGTTTCTAGCTGAAAAACCTGCTAAAACTCCCAAGAAATGCAAAATTAATCTAACTTTCGACTTAATTTGTTGATTTTTCGATCCGTTTTAACGAAATCTCGCAAAAATCTGAGATTGTAGCACAAAAACGTGCTCAAAAATCGAGTGAAACAAACAAAATAACATCAATATCAATTGTTTTTGTGATTTTTAAGCGTGTTTGCACAAAATTTTGCAAAATAAATGATTCTCTGGTTCAAAAACGAAGTAACTCGAGCAAAACAAGGTAAAAATAATATCAATTTCCTTTGTTTTTATCTCAAAAACGTGCTTAAACACTTGAAAAGGGCAATAACGCTGTTTTTGCTTGAATTTTTGGCTTGTTTTTAACAAAATTTTGCGAAATAATTATGTTTATAGCTGAAAAAGTATTCGAAAAAAACAAAAATAAATTGTCATTTTCGAACCATTTTTGAAAAAACTTGAAATAACCAGGTTTCTGGTTGAAAACGTAAAAATGCTCGAAAAACATTTTTTTTCATTTCCCATTTCCAAAAAAATCGCCAGATTTAAAAAAAGTTTTTTATCATTTTCGACCTATTTTTTTTTTGGCTTGTTTTTGCGATATAATTGCGTTTCTAGCTAAAACTCACAAGAAATGCAAAATTAATGTAACTTTCGACTTAATTCCTTGATTTTTCGGTCCATTTTAACGAAATCTCGCAAAAAATCTGAGATTGTGACACAAAAACGTGCTCAAAAAACATATTTTTGTCTTTTACTCAAAAATCGAGTGAAACAAACAAAATAACATCAATATCAATTGTTTTTGTGATTTTTAAGCGTGTTTGGACAAAATTTTGCAAAATAAATCAGCCTCTGGTTCAAAAACGAAGTAAAGTCGAGCAAAACATAGTAAAAATAATATCAATTTTGATTTAATTTTTTTAACACCTTCAACGAAATTTTTTGAATTTTCTTTAGTTTTATCTCAAAAACGTACTTAAACACTTGAAAAGGGCAAAAATAACTCCATTTGTGGTTGAATTTGTTGAATTTTTGGCTTGTCTTTAACGAAATTTTGCGAAAGAATTGTGTTTCTAGCTGAAAAAGTATTCGAAAGAGAGAAAGATAATCTTATAAAAAAACAAAGAGAACTATTTTTAACAAATTTGGTGGTTTTTTGACTTTTTTCAAAAAAAATGATGAAATAATCGAGTTTCTGGTTGAAAACAAAACTTGACAAATGCTCGAAAAACGGTGAAATTGCACCACACTGGTAAAAAGGCTACCAATTTGACAACAAAAATCACATTTTTCTAATTTTTTTTTTTGTATGAAAGAATAAAAATCTGTTTTTCTCAATCAACTATTGAAAAAATTTCTCCATTGGTATGTTTAGGTCAGTTGAGCAACGTGAACCGCAACTCAACAATCGAAAACACCCGCCGCCATATCGGTAAAGGGGTCCATTTATATTACGTTAACGGCGAAGTCTACGCCGAATGCCTCTCCGATTCGCCAATTTTCGTACAATCCCGTAACTGTAACCACCATCATGGGTTTCACCCATCCACAGTGTGTAAAATACCGGCGGGTTGTTCATTACGCATTTTCAACAACGCCGAATTCGCCCAACTTCTCTCCCAATGCGTAAACCACGGTTTCGAGGCGGTTTACGAACTGACTAAAATGTGCACAATAAGGATGAGTTTCGTCAAGGGTTGGGGGGCGGAGTACCATCGACAGGACGTGACAAGTACCCCTTGCTGGATTGAGGTGCACTTGCACGGCCCCCTGCAGTGGCTCGACAAGGTGTTGACCCAAATGGGGTCCCCACACAATGCCATCAGTTCGGTGTCGTAATAAATACGGGGACGAAAGTAAAGACGAGTGCCATTTCAGGTTATGCAAATGCAAACAAACGGTGGGAAAATTACGTGTTGCCTTACGGTAAAGTGCATTTTTCAGCACGGTAAATGATTATTTATGTGTACAGGAAACCGAGCTGAAAACTTGTAAATTCTGGATGTAATTATAACGAACAGTTATGTGTCTGTCTTAATTGATCTCTAGATGGCTACGATTTTATTGGTTTGTTGGTTATTTACAGGTTTATTCACAGACATTGTTTTAATACAAGGGCCCGTTTTTGCGAAAAATTAACTGTGCTCATACAAATTAGAGCACAATTTTTGTTAAAAAAAAAAGTTAAAAAATTATCCCAGCGAGTTGAAAAGTCCATTGAAACCTTTAAATTGTAAAATTAAAAAAAAAAAATCTATAGGACATCACCTAAAATTATTTTCAACCATACAGCATGTCCCAAAAATAAGTTACAATACAAACTTGTGTTTTTTAAATGAAACACATTTCTGGATGTAGCTTTTGAAAACAATGTTTTTATGCTAAACTTTTATTAGAAATTTATTTTCAATTAATTTTCAGTTACGTTGATGTGAAAGAGTAAAGGATTTTGGGTTCTTTTAAGTTATATCGCCAATTAAAAAAATTTTAAGAAAGAAAAAAAGTAATTCCTAACTTTACTTCTTCATACTGTTAAGAATGGTTGAGAAGGAATTTTTAAATTGTTTTTTAGAGTTTGTTATAAATATGTAGCTTACTTATGAGCTTATGTGCTATTTTATATACAAATGTATTTTATATTTGAAACGTAATTTTTGATTTTGTTAAAAACATTTACAAAAATTAGTCCGTAATAAGACGGTTTTTTTGATGAAAATTTGCATTTTTTTAAAATTTATTACACAAAAATTAAGACAGCTAGAACAAATTTTTTCTTACTTCTGCAAAGAAGAAAGTACAGAATTTAACTGTGGCAATTTTTTAGTGTTTTGCATTTGTAAAGATTAATAATTTAAGAAGTTTGTTAAAAATTAAATAACTTTAAAAATTTAAATGGAACACCCTTTTTTATTTTTGCATCTAATAGATTGATAAATTGTCTATCTAAAAAAATAAACTTTTAATGTTTGGAATTGATAAATGAAAAGATATTTAACATTCAATATTAATTGTAGCAACAATGATTATCAATATCTGAGCATTGTTGATACTATGGCAACTATAGTAATTCCACCACGGATCACTTATTTATCCCTTGATTTATCCAAAAATTGTAAAAGTTGACATAAACACTGAAATTGAAATTATTTTATTGTAAAAATAAAGAATAATGGATTCAGTTTAACACAAATGTGATTATTAAGTGATATTTCTTTCATCTCTTGTGCAACTGTGCACTTTTTGGCTACTGAAACAATAGTTTTTTTTTTAATTTTTAACGTTAAATATCTTTTTAGTTATTGATTACAAACACCTAAAAGTAAATAATTTTAGAAAGACAATTTAATAATCTTTTAAATGCAAAAACAATAAATAGGGTGTTCCATTTAGTTTTTTTAAGTTATTGAACTTTTAACAAACGCCTTCATTTTTTTATCTTTGCAAATGCAACACACTAAAAAAATGTTAAACCTTATAGCTTGTACCTTCTTCTTTGCGGTAGTAAAAAAATATTTCTAGATGCCTTAGTTTTTGTGTAATAAATTTTTAAAAAGTGCATGTTTTCGTCAAAAAACCTTCTTATTTTTAAAACTAAGCAAAATCGACCAATAACATAAAAATCTACATCCAAAAACGCTAAGAAACATATGGTGTTTCATTTAAAAAAAGACAAGTTTGTATTGTAACTTATTTTTGAGACACGCTGTATAGTTGAAAATATTTTTAGGCGATGGAATAGATTAGTATCTATTTTTTTATATTACCATTTAAAGGTCACTAATGGACTTTTTTAACTCGCTGGGACACCCTGTATGATTAAAATTGTAAAAACTTTCTCAAGCATCAATGCATAAATATACCGGGTGAGTTGGCAAAAGTTTGCAACACTGCAACCGGATATGATTTTTACTTGACAACTATTTAATGTAACATTTTTTTGAACAAACACTCGGTATAACAAAAAGTAACAACAGTGAGTGTAAATAATAAAAAATTAAAAAATGCTTTTTGTAGTGATATACAGTGTCTCTGTTACAAAAAACTGGATATTTTTGACGTAATGTACTTAATTTTCTGCAGTGATTCTTGAGGAAGCTTGGTCTTCGGCTGAACAGTTTGGTTCGGTGGTACAAAAACGAGTGTAATAGAAACGTAAAAATATTTTGTGCAATTAATGAAATCCGTTAGGCGTAAGAGTAAAATAAGTGTATTTGTAATTAAAATATAAATGAAAATATTGTCCATTTTACTTATTTTAAAGAAATATTGTTACAAGTTTTTTATAGTTATATATGCAATTTCTTGTTTGTTTTATCAACGATAGAAAGGTTGGGTAGCAGCACTTGATGTCTAGTGTATATTTTTTGAGATATTATCCATATTTACGATGAGGTACACCTTTTTATATTGACAGTGCAATTTTTTATTTTCGTTTTAAATAAAATTGTAGATTACTTTCTCGATGGTCATTTTTTGCGAATTAAACGTTACCTTGTACTTAGAATTGGCTTGTGTAACTCGATTTGTAAGTGTAATGTGTTAACATAATGTGCCAAAAATTGTGCTTGAATTGAAAAAAGCTTATCCTTGTGTTTTATAAACAATAACCATTTAAGTATTTAGTCTTCATGTAAAGTGAAATTGAATAAAAATCGAGCAACTTCAAAGCTACATTTGCAAAAAGCGATTATTTATTGGCAAATTGGGAAATTTCGGCGAGGGATTGGGCCCTAGTAAACAGCTTGCAAACTTAATTTTAAAGTCTGAAATTAATTTGATCGAAATATATAGGCAACCAACAATACACTGTCTTATTGTGACCAAAAAGTTTGTTTTTCTTTTAATTTTTTAAAAAACTAGTACCTGCTATGTGTAAAATTAAGAGGAGAATACGCCTGTACAAACCGTTTTAACATAGGACTTATAGTTTTGTTTTATTTTAAAAATAATTGGTTTCGTCACAATCATAATTATCGGCCGAGTCAGTAGTCACGTTACAGTTTCCTACTTTTATGACATTTGAGGTTATTTCCCGATTTTTAAAAGTGAATTTTGTGCCATTTGTACCTAAGCTAGGCTAATTTTAATGGTTTTTTTCTTTCAGCTGAGTTCAAAAGTGTCTCGCATTTTACTTCAAGCAACTTTTACGTATTTTTAAAAAATCTATAAAAAAAACATAATTACCTAAGTTTTCTTATACTAAGGACACAATATTCACATAGGCCTTTATATATCATGTGATTTTTTTACCAAAAACAAATTGGAAAAAAGTACCAGCAAATTATATTAAAATGCTTATAACTCCAAATATAGGTTAATGCACATGACACCTTTATCTACTCACCCCTTCAATTAAGTCCCATCAATAAATATCGGGATCAAAAAGTCAGTTTTACAATTTCTTTTTCTTAAAAGAGATGAGTAAGCTTCAAAAATTTGATTAAAAATGCAAAATCTGACTTTTGAACTCTTACAGTTTTCTGTAATACAACTAGTACCATCTATCCTTCAAATGTCTAAATTTGTAAAAAAAAGAAAACTGTGTGTGATTAACTGACACCTAACCTAAAAATTGTAAAATCGAGGAAAATTTGTTAAAAATGGGTGAAAACGTGGAAAATACCCCTGGACGACAAGCTATAGCCGTAATGAAGGACATCCAGAGGGAAATAATCTTCAAAAAACCGGTAGGAACACCTCGGAAACGACTCAAAGAGAAGGTTTTGGATGAAGACACATATGTCGAGGTAATTTGTTTATTTACGTTATTTCAGATTATAAAACTAATCAGAATTGATGTTTAGCATATTGGTAAGATTATCCAACGTGATTTTTTCCCCGACCTTGAGAAACTTAAAGCCCAGAATGAGTACTTGGAAGCGGCTGAAAGAAACGATGTGACAAAAATGAGACAACTTTATATGAAATACAGCGGAAGTAGACCACCAACACAGAGGAGTAAGTGGGTAGAAAGTGTTTTTTTGGTATTAAATTGTGTTTTTCTAGTACCAAGTCCTGCGACTTTTGAAACACCTGTTCACAACTCATTTGAGACTGAGACTCCGCCCAAACCACCCCCTGAGAAAAGTGAACCAAAACTGAGTTTAGACCAATTCCTGAATTCGCACACCTCTGAAGATAATCGAAGTTTCAGTGAGATTTTGGCCGAATCCGAGAAAAAACACCAAGAGAAATATTCATTTTTGTACAAAGAGGAGGGTAATAGTGAGAAAGAGAGACTGGAACAGTTGGCATTACCGTCAATTGACAAACAAGGGGAATTACCGGAGAAAAAACTAAATGTTGACACTTGGAGTTACAAAAACAAAAATTACATAATGTACATCCCTGATGGGGTCCCCCTTACCCAAGAAGAAGAAATGGAATTGAATAAAAACCGCCAAGAAGTCGTCCATTCCAACACTCGCCTTATCATCAACCCATTTAATGACACCCAAAGCAAGGAGGCTATCACTGAATTAGCGAAAACCCAGGCGAAAATCCACGATGGTAAAATCGGCGTCGACGGTAAGGAACTAATGAAAGACACGCCCCAAATCCGGGGGTTTTCCTTCGTGAAAACCCCCTCGCCCCATCCCAACCTCCCTGACACGCCGTTGATGACATGGGGGGAGATCGAAGGAACCCCCTTTCGGCTTGACGGCAGCGACACCCCCCTGCCTCACTCGCAGGGCCCCTCGTTTAAAATGTCGGAGCCCCCACGACGCGAGCAAATCGCGATTGCATTGGCGGAGAAAGTGGGGGAGAAGAACAGAGATAGGAAACAGAAGGCTATGGAGGCGGCGAGGAGGCGGTTTGCGACGCCGTCCCCACGGACGACGGATAGGTTGGCGACCATGTCGCCGGCGGCGAGACGATTCGCCACCGCCAAGTTGGGGTTAAGGGGCGATTTTATGACGCCGAGTCCGAAGAGGGCCACGCCGGGGACCCCCAAGAGGGTGGTCACGCCGAAAATTAATTTGGGGATCAAGAAAGTCGATAATTTGACCGATGATTTGCTGAAGATTAGTGTTCCGAAGAGGCACAAAGCGGCCGATTTTTTTTAATCGGGGATTGTATTTTTTTGGTTAATAAATATTTATTAAAGTTGACAATTGGTATTTTCATTTGAGTCACAAATACTTAAATTGGGAACAGAAAACCAATTTTGGTCTTAAAAATCATAAGTTTACGTTACATTTTTAACAATTCCTTATAGTAGTAAAAAATGGAACAAAAAAGCAGCTTATAGTCAGAAAAAATTGGGCTTGAAATCAACTGTGGTGCTTAAAAATATTTTAAATTTCTTGTGGTTAAAAAAATTGATCAAAAACTCGTTTGGGTAAAAAAAATTGACTAAAAATCGCCTGAAGAAAAATAATTTAAAAAAAATATTAAAAAA